ATCGACACGCACAGCTGTTCGCATGTGACGCAGATTGTAGGGAATCGGGAAAAGCTCAGCCGTCGAGAATTTGCCGTGATTTCTGCGGTTTGCGTCGAAATTACGACCTTTAGACTCTTGAAACTAATGAAGACACGTTACTCGATTTACATTCATTCCCTGTGAACAAGCGTTGACGATTAGATTGCTCATAAGCGGCCATCGACGGCCGGCTGCAAGGGCCAAAAAGGATTACATCTGATTCCGAGGGAGCTCATCCATGACATCAGCTCTAAGGGGGATTAAAAGGCTTAGCTTATTGCTCCCTTTGGGAATCATTAGCTATTATTAGCGAATCCCTACAAGTATTCATGACTCACCGCTTTTTTCTTAGTGATCTTGGCGGTTTTCCAGTACACTGAGCAGTACCGTACTGTTGTGCAACCCATGGTCCTACAGCGAATTTCAACATTCCGGTGGTGAAGACGACAGGGACGTCCAACAGACGACCGTCAACAGTGAATCAGACGTGACTGATAGTTCGTAGTCGGTCGTATGTCTCAATTTAATAGTATTGACAGCGGCGTCGGCGACGAGAGGAGCGGCTTGATAAGCCCAAACGACTGGACGAGCATGAGGGGGCGGAGCAGAGTGCAAGCTTCTGTTGCTTGTCAGCCGCTCGGTAACACTTGGATCAGCTTGAAGGCAACTGACTGAACCCATCAGACCTAACGACTCCATCAAACCATGATCGCCTAGTACTTCTGGAGTACAGCGGGTTGAAAGATAGCTCCTTCCTGTACTTTCGAAGTGAGAATCCGTCAAATATGAATGAAGATTTCAAAAAAATATTCCCGAGGCATGGGACCTACATAGGGTTCTCGGTTGACCGGGCTGGTTCCAATTCATTGACTGGACGGGCCTTATTCTCCATTTTATACCAGATTTTGCCCATGCTTCACCCTCATTTCCCAAGTCTTGAAGAAATTGGCCGTGTTCAGCTCGTACTGTGGCTACTGAAGTACTTCTGTCTCCCTCGGGAAAACAGAGATGGCCGAAGGAATAACTGAGGCCCATAATCTCAGCTCGGCTTGATAGATGTCAAAATCAAGTCAGATACGGTCAGGTCCCACATCTGTCCTGCTCAACTGGCCTGAGCCACCCACAGGATCCACTTCATTACCCTCGTCCGGTGTCCATGCCCTAGTAGCAATAGGTAACGTCAACAACGTATCAGTTTACAGCTTTATTCGATCATGAAAGCGCTTGCAAGCAAGCAAGCCTAATGTTGTTCCTCCTCCCAGTCATTCCGAGAAATGAGCCTTTGCACTCCGAAAACAGGAACCGCCGCCGGCATCTCTGCAGCCGAGTAGTTTTCGCCGAATGCCCTCTCTGCTTAGGAAGATTGGCGAATTCCTTTCTACGAATCACCCCATTCGTTCACCAAACACCATAGCTATTTAGTATGATTTTTCCAGGAAAATTCGACGACGACGCCATTTCCCCAGAGAGGCAGGCAGACAGCGCAAGCACAATGAGCTGCTGTCGGCAAACGAAAGAAGACTTCGTGATTCTTGCTGTCTGGGGTTTTATGAAAGAATCGATGTCATCCGTCTGCTCTTCGACACTTCGTATCGGATGCCCTAGCCAGCCGATAATGGAGTTGAGCTATGTAGTCTCAAAGGACATCCTATTGGTTCACGGAATCATCTTACGAATTTGTTTTCCTTGGAAATTGAATCCTGAATTTTGAATAAGCCGCATAAAACTTTTGGCTTTGGTGGGCAAGATTCCCAAGCCTATCACGAATGTGGAATCTCCTGCAGAACTTCAGAAAAGATTTCTCTTCTTCATCTACAAGGTAGTGAGCCGATGAACTGACGAGAGAAGACGAAAAAGACGCTATGCATCAGTAGGAGCAAGTATGGCTAGTGAGGTCACAAAAGTTGGCCCTTCCTGTACGACCCCCGTTTCCACTCGAAGAGGTACCCAGACCTACGAAACTGTCCAACTTCCAAAACCTCTTTGTGACGCGGAAAGGGACGAAGGAGAAATAGCTTCCACGCGGAGGATCAGCTGCAAAGATTAGTGGTACCCATATGGGGGATTACAGTTCATAAAGACATTGTCAGACAAGTATCGGGTGCAAAGTTCGATCCTGGACGAGATTCGAACCAAACAACTCCTTGGATGGTAATCAGAAGCTAAAAAATCAAAGCCGAGCAATATCCCTCTACCCTCTTTCCCGAATACGGTCTCCGTCCCATCCAAATGAACCAGTCATGCCGCCCCTGCAAATCCAGGGAAGTCCCACAGGCGCTGCTGCCTGGGCTGTACTAACCCCTTCATCACAACGTGATCAAAAAGTTATAGCCCATTGCCGATGTTCTTGTGGGAGCCTGTTCTGTCCGATACTGCAAACTCTGACAGCATTCATTCCCCTCCACAATCGACACATCTCAATATGTCGCTTTCTGGGAAAAATGGGAAAAAATTTACTTGAACAACTATTAATGATCAAGGACGCGATATAAATTTTCACCCAACAAGCCCAATTGCAATGAATCAAGTTCCTATTCATCTGCTTTTATGAGCTGGTTGATTCCTCGACTCCAAGACTGGAACCCAGTCTAAGGCATCCATAAGGGGTGATTACGGTTGATAAAGACATAGCCCCGAGAATACGGCAAGATCATGATCATAGACGGTTATGGGATTGATCTAGCTGAGAAGGGCCTGTACCCAAACATGCTTACCCACTCAGAATGAGACAAGAGATAGGTTTCATGTGACAACTCCCGCCCCAAAAAAACTCGGATACCGAAAATCGTAGCTGTAATGCGCTTAGCAGCTTCCGGATACGCCACGCGTCCGAATCACTGCCAGATTGCTAAGTGCTCCCGAAGCAGAGAATGGAAAGGTAACGATATGAAGCAGAAAGGTCCAACTGAGGACAACACGCTATTTTATGCTATCAAACAACTTTGGCATGGATTGTTCATCCTAAGAGGAAACAGGGGTCTTCCGGGTGGAGTTCGAACCAGGAACCTTGTATATGGTAAAAGCGCAGGAACTCGCCCGCACTACCTACCCACACCCGAAATCTTACATCGAGCCATTGCACCCACCAGTGTCCACCGTGTGGGCGAGCAGAATTAGCTGCAGTTGGAGAATTGAAATGCTTTCCGGTGCATTCCAACTTCGTCCGTGTTCCAAGAGCCAGTCTGTCTGCAAACTATGAGTTTTTCACTCCGTCTACAACAAGTCACAGGAAGCAGCTCCCTGGCTAGGCAGTAAAATGCGTTTGATGGCTGAAAATCATAAAGAAGCATTCGTAACGATGGTATTTACGGCTGCGTCAGCGTATGTTCACTTTACATGCCCATGTAACCACTCACTTAAGCTGACCAGATGTGCCTTCAGACAAATTGAGGAGGAAAAAAGTCCCGAAAAAGGAAGAACTGGAACTGTCTGTTCAAGACAGAAGTAGTGGCAAGCATATGGGAGGGATGCTGGACAGCAAGATGGATCCCCAATGACCAACCTTTGAGGACCGTACTGAGGGTCAGAGGTGCCAAGCGGCCAGCCAATCAGAGATCAGGGCACCTCTGATTGGCTGGCACCTCGGCAAATGGGTCTAATTACCCATGCTACATATCCAGAATCAACTAATTCGGCATCAAATGAGTATGTACGATTTCTAAAAAAGGGAATTCGTAAAAGGGCAAAGTCCTAGCGTCTTCTTATCAAGAGTAAATGACTACTGAGAAACAGAGCTAAAGCGAAAGTGCAAAATGAGTCGTGCCGATAGCGTGGGGCTAATTGTAGCGCCCACGGGATGGACATCACACAGACACTACTATCCGTATTATCTCACAATAAATTGATCTACCAAAAAGCTAAATTCTCATTAGTTTTATTATTTTATTTGGCTCACCATTTACTTGTTTTTTGTTTATTTATTTATATATTTATTCATTTTACCTCAGAAGGATTTCATCCAGTCCTACAATATGACAGAAACGATAAATTTATCAATGAGTTTAAAGCATGAAGTTTTCAGTATTGGTCAGTCCCGTTTGAGGGCTGCGCCCCGCATCCGAATTCCATTCAGAAAAAAATCAAAGATCTTCGCATGAATAAATCATTGCATTTTGATCGTTTCTATGTTCACTTTATATTCATTTTATTCAATTTACAATTCAAAAAAAAGCACTGACTGATAGATAATTTCTGATTATTCATCATTAGATGTTGAAATAATAGATTTTTAAATATTTTTCACGATATATTAGTGAAAAAATTCATTGTAAAACAATAGAATAATAAAAATAGTATGTTTGGTCAATTGGTTAAATAAATTGGTTGATAAAACATATAGCACATTATGTTATGTAATCTATTGCCTGGCCAAAATTAGAATAAATCATTTTCGTAGACTTGTAGAATTCTTGGAACAATTATAATCCAAACTTATCCGCTTAGGTAACGCGTCCAAAAGTGTATTCGATTGTGTTAGGGATGATAGTAATGTCACACAATGGTACACAATGGCACATGTCTGCTTGTAAAAAATTACAAAAAAAAACTAGAACAAAGTGCAATACTTCGTATCACTTTTATAACGAGTTATCATCACGAATCACTAAAACTTTGCTATCAGTAATGCACGACGGGGGAAAAACTTCAGTCTCGACCACACACAGAAATGATTGATTCAGACAAACTGCATATTTCCCCTGTGATATTCCACCGTAATCTAGGATCTCTTAGTTGTTAAAGTATCAAAAGAAATCGAATGGTATCTGAATTATGATTTGATCAATACACATCATTTGCATCAACCCGTGTGCTACAAGATTAGGAGTGTAGTTTTTTTTTCGAATGAAACCTAAAAATTGAACAAAAGTAGTTATTTGAGCTTGGTCGGTGTTTGCATGCCCACCCATATGTATGTTTGTCTAGTGTTTGTATCCAGATCTACAACCCAGCACACACCATCCAATCAGCTTTACATTTCCCAGAGTGAGCTCAGAGCATGGCGCAATCCCTGTGAAAAAAACCTTCATTTATGAAACGTCACTCCTCCGACATTTCATTTGAAAGGGCATTCAAAAACCACCATAAGCACAAATGAAATGGTTTGAGCCGGAAGGAATGATTGAAAACTTCTCTGCCAGCCATTTCTACCGTAATCGAGGATAGGTAGCCAAGTCAAGCGATTTTCCATTCACTTCTAAGACTTCAAGCACAGGAAGCTAATGGAAGATTCCCACGGCAAGTTTGTTGATTGCATGCTGCACATAGCCAAACATAGCCAGAATGACCAATCGCTCTCTAGAAGGAATGCGGGTAGGTTCAAAGCAAAAGGGAAAGGTGTCCGGGTGGCAAAGATATTCCGGGAACGCTATGACAACAAAAAACTCCCGTGGAATACTAAAAAAATCATCTCGAAGGTTTCTTGTGGGAAGGAAAAGCCGACGGTAGCAAGTGGCACTTTATGAGATGCAACTGATAACGCCGTAGACGAGAAAGCCTCGTCTGTGGGGTGAATACATTAAGCCGTAACTGGTACGATCATTCCCTGAACGTGAACAGCCGTATGTATGTCAGATAAAAATGCTTGCCAAGTGTCAATGGATGGATGATGAGGTTCAGTCAGGATTTAGTAGCCTGCTTGGAGGGGGGTTTTCTTGACCAAGCCAGCTGTCTGTACAAGTGCC